ATTTTTAATAAATTAATAATCTTTTTAATTAATCACATTCATCTTTTGTGAATTGATTAATTAAAATTTTCTCATTAATGAGAATCTTAAGCATCTATTAATTCTGCTTAAGAAGGTTGAACATTTTCTTTATTCAACTAAATTTCAGTTTTAAGCTGCTGAATTTCATTAGAAAGTGCTTTTTAATGATCTTCTTGGATCTTTAAAATTTAAGTCAACATCATGTCAATCTTATTATTCATCTAATTAATTTTAGTATCCAAAACGTTTTTATTGTTTTCTATTTGTTTTAAAACAGATTTGACCTATAAAATAACTTCAGAGTCTTCTTTTTTTACTCTATTTTACACAGGATCAATTAATAACAGGTGTTCCATCTAATTAGAATGTTGCTTTTTTATGTCATATGGAACAAGATATTCATTTTCTTAAATCAGCTTTGCCATTTGTTGGAATCTCCTTTATTCTGAATTTTAAGCTACAAAAGCATAGATATCTGAGATAATAGCGATAAGCAAGTTGATCATGACAATCATATCGAAAATTAAACACAAAACAAATAAAATCCAGACCAAAGGTATCTATATTTCACCAAATGGATTAGTGTTCCCATCTCCCAAGATCATTCTGTAGACATAGAAGCCTGGATATAAGAAATGCTCTATGAATTAAGAATACTCATTTTTTTCGTTAGATAATTGAAGGAATGAATCTCTAAAAGCGAGTATTGTTATAAGCAGCAAAAGCAAGAAAATCCCCATATTCCAAGCTACTTCTATTAGCATTCTGATAAGATAACCAGTATGTTTAAATATTCTCATTCCATAAAAGAATTTTATCCACAAAAATAAAGTAGAAATAGATATAATGGATCTGTTAAAATCTTCATTGGTTTAATAACCATTCAACTCAAGGAATTAAATAATATGGATCATAATAACACCTAGTGGAGCAATCAAATCTACGTAATTCCATATTTAGACAAATTCCATTACTTTTTAAAGAGTAAATTATTTTAGCTCAATTATCAAAAAGTATGCTGAAAAAGCAAGTTAAATTATAATCAAAACCATATTTATAGTCTTATACTCATCTTCTTTTCTGTGCTTATAAACAAGGTTCATATAAAAAGCAAAGACCAAGTGTAATACTATGAATGGTAAAATTATCCAATAGACAAAATACCTTTGAACAATTGGGTAATTAAATTCTATAATCTTTTGAATAGGCTTGCAATTAAAGTAATTGAATAGTCTAGTACTTGCTAGTTCTTTGAAAAATTAATTAAAATCTTTGTCCAAAAAATGATATATACCTGGAATATCTAAGAATTGGAGCTTTATACTTGTACCTTAGTTTTAGTTTTATTCAAATAATTCCTCTTATAGAGGTTTTTGAATGAATTTGACTTTACTAGATATAATATCAGGATAGTCATCTTTTAATTACACCGATTTAATTTCTTTTGTTTATATTGTTTCAAATGTAGCTGACTCCAGAAAAGGAATAAAAGAAGGAAGCTATTGCTAAATAAGGAGTGGGTATAGATCTTTAATTGCTCTTGAATGATGTCCAAATGAGTATAGAGAAAGATAAGGCAGAATTGTATCTATAGTACTGAAATCTTATCTTTCTGCCAATAGATGAAAAACTGTTCTCCCTTAAAAGTCCTAAACTATTGGTAGATAAGTGACAATCTTTCCACCAGGATGGCAAATCTCAAAAAGTTTAATGAGTTGTTCTTTCTAGTCACAAAGGTAATGTAATACAGTTCTTCCCCCAGGTACTATAATGTATATGAGCTATTCAATCATTTAAAGTTCTAGCATTTCTATAGTGATCTAACCCTATACTCAACTCTAATTTTGCTGTTAAGAATTATGCTAGCTTGAAGATGTGGGAGACTATAATATTTTTCTAATAATCTCAATTAATGCTTAGGTAAGCAGTAAATAGATAATAATTGTTAAAAGATTGTGATACAAAGTGCTTTGAAGGATAGTGCTCACGTCAAGCATAGTTTGAGTGTCTAAGATGCGAAAATGATGATTTATTATTAGATTTGAATAATCTCGATTGTTCAGTCAACTGCTCCAAAAATGTAATGCCGATAATCATTAATTACGGGCTATTTGATGATTAAAACTACAGATTTAAGTTCTGCATGAGTAATCTAATTAAAATGAATTTATATAATATTTTTAGAGAACGAGATATATATAGACTCTAATGTGAACGAGAAAAGCTTGTAATTGGGAACATATCAGTTCCCATTCAAAAATTTTGATGACTCTTTTAGATTACTGTTTAACCATAATTAAGAAATTTCAAAGAATATATCGATTCTCGTAAAAGAAGGAACAAGCAATACTATGTATTCATAATCAATGCCATTACTAATACTTAGTTTGAATATAACTTTAAGGTAGGTAAAGAAAAATTTTTAAGATATTTCCATTTCTATATGCTAAATATTAATTTTAGATCCTATAAATAATATGATAACTAAAGCTTTTCAAACTTAGCACAAATATAAAAGCCAGTTATAAATATCTATGAAGACTAATTTGATTACAATAGAGAAAGTTTTGGATTTAATCCAACTATTAAAATAGATGGCAATGTAATAGGCTACAAAATTGATGAAATGTTTGACCTTGGATTAATGAATTAAGAAGAATTAACAGAAAGCAAGTACAAATTTCACGTTTACAGGTCAAATTTCTAGATAGAGGATATGATATTCATTTAAGAAAATTAACAGGTATATGCTTTTGAAGACAGCTTGGTTAAAAGTAATTCAAATGCCTTCAGATGGGTCATTATGCAATGATGCGAATTTTATCTGGCGTCTTCTGTTTATTTTACCATTAGAGGCGCAAATTTAATTCTAAATAATAATATTATAGACATTTCAAAAGAGTGCATTTCTTAATTTTCAAACTTTGCAGATGATTGCCAAGCTTACACTCAATCTGGTAACTCTGGCTAATTTATAATAGATAACAATACAATAATTGGCTAAAATAAGAAGATATATCAACCAATGATCGAAGCTGTTCAACAGATCAATTTGACAATAACTAATAACCTATTCTATAATTCAGCATGGTTTAGTTAAAGACTTAGTGTTCAATATGACGCCTATGCCGTTGATTGTGAATAATCCTAGAAATTACTAGTAAACATCTCTAATAACAGAATAATCAATAATGAAGGTATATTAAACTCAAATATCTTCTTTGCTTTATCCTTGTAATACGTTCATAACACATACTTTGATATCCATATTAATGATAACTTGTATAGTAACACTTCGATAGGTGCCAAACCAATATTTTAATTAGTTGGGGTAGAACGAAAAAATTCTAATTTGACCATGTATAATAATACATTTGAGAATATCTTGAATTTAATTGATGAAACTTAAATGATTGCTATTGAAGCCGAAATGATAGACATATAAGAAATTAAAATTTTCAATAGTAATTTATCAACAGCCATAAGCATATATGGTGTAAAATGTTCTATTTAAAGTCTTTTAGTTGATGGATTTATGGGGAATAATCCAAATTCATAAAATAGTTATATAATTAAAGTTACCTCTATGGATATCATCTAGGTGCATGATCTTCGAGTGGAAAATTCAAAATTATTAAATGTAGGTCTTCTATTTATATCAGAGACAGTAGATTGTACAATCTCAAGAATTTTTACAGAAAATTCAGAAATTTAAAATGATTTAATTAGTTTGGAATCCATAGACTATGTACAAGTATATGAAATATTTGTTAGAAACTTAACTTTACTTTCTTCAGATCAAAATTCCTTGATTAATTTGCTAACAATATCAGCTTCAAAATATTTTGATAATAGAAAAAATATCATATTAAAAGATATCATACTAATATAATCATCTATGCCTTTGATGAGTATAACTAAGGTAAAGACTCTTAACAAAAATTAAATGAGAGAAATCACTTTATTAAATGCAATTGTTGAAGATAATAAACTCAATGGTATTCATTAGATGATAAGAACATACGCCTTGAGTACAAATTATATTAAATTTGTCATTTCAAATAGTAATTTTACTAACAATACTATAGATAAAGGATATTTTATGCTTTTGTAACATAATGGGTTTGAACTATAAATAGAGAAATCATATTTTTAGGAAAATTCAGGATATTTTTCAAAATTAGCTCCCTACAATACATTCGACTATGAAAATCCGTAAGTTGTTATTGTATTAGAATGCTATTTCTATTAAAACTATGGAATAAATCTGGGTTTATTTTAAGTTCTATCAAATGCATTATTGAAAATCTTTGAATCTAACTTTTAAGATAATATAAGTATTGGCAGAGGCTCTATAGCTTTTTCAGATAACATAAATTCTTAAATTCAAATATATGATAGTGTTTTTTAATATAATTACGCCAATCAAGGAGGGGTTTTCTTTGGTTAAAATAATGGTAATATTACGATAATAAACAGCTAATTCGAATTTAATTTTGCTATTGAAGGAGGAATTATGTATTAATAGAATGATGGAATATCTTATTTTAGGAATTGCTTGTTTAATTATAATGGTGCTCTTGAGGCTAATTTATTTTACATTTTTAACTCTTAAAATAATATGACTATTGAGAAAAGTAATATAAGTTAAAATGGTTTAAAATATAATACGATAATCACCCCAATAATTGATAAAATTATCACTGGAAGGACAACAGATAATTCTTAATTGAATCGTATTAATCTTGAATTCATATAGCTTTTGTTCCATATTTTTTAAAGCAAGAATAATGTTACTCTCTAGTAAATTGTTGATAACTACTAGATTACCGTTATTAAGGGCACATTAAATTTAAAAGAAATTTAGATTACTAATCAAACTAGTTTAATTAACTTGAAATCATTATCTCAGCTATATATTAAAAATCTTACCTTTTAAAATACTACTAATATCTCAATACCTTGGCTTGAGGCAACTTAATCTGAAATTATTCTAAATGACATCAGCATTAATAACATCCAGACAAACCTGTATCTGTTTGAACTTTTATCTCAATCGAATTTAAAATTAAGTGGATTGATTTTGAACAACTTATAGGGATCTTTATTTGATCTTCATGAATCAACTGCTTTAATAAAATATTCTTAAATATAAAAAATAATGGGCAATGGTCAATCAGATTTAATAAGGATACATTAATCTAATTTAGCATTAATTGGCTTTCATATAAATGACATAAAAGCATTGAGCTTCTCAAGTATAATCAACATTAAAGAGTCAGTTTTATCAAGCTCATCAATTATTGTGACAGATTTTGATTCAATTCTAATAAAATCTGTTAAATCCACGATATAAATTAGTGATTCAATCTTTAAAAGAGGTTATAACTATTTCCAAGACGGTATAGCCATTAATTCTTTTCAATCCTAAATAAAAATAATCAATTCAGATTTTTCAACTATGATTGGGAAAAAAGGAGGAGCAATTTATCTTATAGATAATCAAAACTCAAATGCAGAATCATGGCTATAAGTAATATCATCTAATTTTTCAAACATAAAATCAGTAGAATATGGTGGTGCTATATACATCTAGCATAGTGATTTCAGTATAATTGATTCTATGTTATCCTTTAATGAAGCTGAGGATTCAGGAGGATCAATATACCTTTCCTGTCTGCTATCGTAAAATTGTGTTTTTAAGACACTTAACAATATCTTTGCCAATAATAAAGCTAAGATAAAGGGAGGTTCAATTCATTATGATAGTGTCAGACCATTAAAAATAGAATAAAATATATATATGGATAATTAGGCTTAATATGGCCCAAACTGGTCATCATATCCTTTCAAGCTCAATATAATGAAAGATATTGATAACTAACTTCAAGATTTAGCCAGTGGATAGTATATAAATAAACCTATTTTATTTAGTCTTTTAGACCAAGATGATTAGTCATATGATCTTGATTCAGCCTCAACTGCTAATATGATCTCTGATTAAATATCAATTGGTGGAAGGACCAAAGTTATAGCTTAAAATGGAATATTTACCTTTACTGATATTTTTCTTTAGGGAATACCAAAGGAATCAGCGATTATATAAATTGAACTAAGTGATACTGAGTATCCTCTCATTGAATGTAAGATTAATTTAATTCTTCATGGTTCATTGTAGAGTTATAAGTTGAAGTAAAATTTAGAGATTGTAAATAAGGAGAAATCAATTAGAATAACAAGTGCATTGTTTGTCCAAGAGGATTTTATTCATTAGATGCTTAAGATACTTGATGCAATTAATGCCCAAGTAATACAGTGTGCCCAGGTGGAAATATCATAGTAGTTGATCCTGGATATTGGTGAAGCTCAATCAATTCAACTAAAATATATGAGTGCTTCTATGATAAAGCTTGCTTGTAAATTATAAAAACTTAATTGTCTTTACCTTAAAAATTTATAGAGGAGGATATGCATCAGAATGTGAGGTGGGGCATTCAGGGAAGCTTTGCAAAGTATGCAAGACTGAAAAAGATGTGGTAATAATAGAATTAAGTTTATAACATAGCAATGTAGATTTATACTGATTCTGGCTCAATTGGATGTTAGAAATGTTAGTCAATTGAGGTATAGATCACCCTGATGCTCACAATATTACTTGCTATATTCCTCTACATCTCTTTCATTCTATTGTACTATAAACTTCCATTAAATCGTGATTATATAGCCAAGTTTTGAGAAATCCTAAGCGTAATAAGCCATAGGCAGTCCTGGTTAGAATAATAACTGGATATCTACAAGTAATAATGCTTTGCCAAGATATGGACCTACAGTGGCCTGACAGAGTAAAGAATCTTCTCTCATATTTTTCGTCTTTTTAATCCTCATAAAAGAATCTACTGTCCTTTGACTGTTTAATGATTTAGTTTGGGTTAAATAGAAATGAGGCATTTTATGGAAAGATATTAACATTTGGATTTCTTCCTATAGCATTCAGTATTATAGCAGCTTCCATATGGCTTTCAATAAAGTTTTCAATTAAGAAGAACGACTCTGACTTTAAAGTCATTAGAAACATAAAAATTACTAGTTTTGCAATTATACTCATTGTATTTCCAACCGTGACCACTATGAGCTTTTCCATATTCTAGTGCTTTTAATATGAAGATAATTACAGCTATCTGTTGAATAATATGGATATCTAATGCTGGAGTGAGAGCCATAGGTAACTGGCATCTTTTATTGGAGTACCCTTTATTATTATGTGGTCTTTCGCTTTTCCTGCATTCATATTTTTCTAACTGTCAAAAATTAAGAGGAGATTGAATGATTAAGAAAATCTTAAAATCTATGGAATATTCTATATAGGTTTGAAAGACGAGGCATATTATTGGGAAATAATAATAGTTAATCTAAAGAAGTTTTTTTTCATTATTGCTTCTACATTTATCCCCTAAACTTTTATAGTGCAAAAGGTAATAATTGCTTTATTTAACAAACTTAGGCACTTCTGGGTATACTGCCTTTAGTATTCTAGTCTTATTAAACTAGTAAAATTTAGCCTTACATTGACCCAAGATTTAATAGACTTGATTTTCATGCAACTTTCGTTTGTGTAAGTTGATATTCAATATAATATGAATTTCTAGACTATTACATTACTGGGCGGTATCTTCTTTACTTCAGAGGAGGTGAGGAATAACTAAGATTTCCTTTTCATTATATTCTTGGTAATCCTTATCTATAATGCTGCATTCCTTTCCTATTGGGCTATTACTATGGTTATAACGCTAGTCAGATACTATGCTAACTTTTTCAATAGAATTCAAGGATATTTTAATAATAAAATCAAGATTGATGACTATGAAACGAACTTGAAGAAATATTTGAAAATATATGTTGAAGTACCTGAGATGAAATAAAAAGCGAATATTAATTCTCTTTCAACCCCTAGACTAAAAACATCCACAGCAAAATTACTATAAAGTGTAAGAAATAAGAAAATGAGAAGAAAATCTATAAAATAATCCACTATTAGTAAGATAATATAGGATGACTAAGAAGTATCAAAATTCTCTGATTCAATGGTAACTCATAAGTTATACTCATAATTAAAGCCTCACAAAAAGGATTCTTCAAGTACAAACACCAAATTACAAAATCCTCCATATGTAGGATTTTCAAGCAGAGGTCTACTTTAAGACAATTAATTCCAAGCAGGTACTATTAGACAGCAAAAATCAAATCGATAAGATAACATTTTTGACGCTTAGGAATTTGTTGATGATTATCTACAAATATAAATGATTGAATAAGAAAAAGTATTTAAAAATAGAAAACGAAAACCAAAAATTATTTATAATCGCTATAAAATGGCACTTTGATTTCAAGAAAGGTGATATTTAATAAGTGGAGTTTAAATAAAGAATTAATAAAGATTTTATTAGTGTATTATTGATTATTTTAATTATTAGATCTTAGAATATTTTGAAAATTAAAGTCTATGGGGTTTTGGGGTTTTGGGG